TCTAAAGAATAAAAAAATAATTAAATAAAATTAAATTATTCAAATATGCCTATATTTGATTGTTGTAAAGATGCAGTAGAGCGCATTTCCGGGCATCAACAACAGAAACTAAATTTTGCGAGGAAGGACATCCGGACCCCAAACCACCACTTCCCCGACCCCCACCCCCGAATGGCCGGACCACTTCCAAAATGCTTCCGACGGCTATGAGTAGGCATCATGTATTATCATCCTGACGTTCAAAATCAGTGTATTGAAGGTAACCAAGTATGCGCGTGTCATTGTACAGTCTTATTGCGATAAGTGTACAAAACTGAAATCCCATTACAAAGGTTACGATATAAAAGAAATTTGATGTACACATTATTACGTAGGTTTGATACTTAATTTTGTTTAATTTTATTTTTTTTAAATTTTTAATTAATTAATTTTTTTTTTGACAAAAAGTGGTCCGGCCATGCCAGTGCTGCCGGTTCCGACGGCCCTGCAATTACATTAAGTTCTGGGAAAGGGTTAAGAAAATCAATGGAAGCCCTCTTGAACAATCCAGTGTAATTGGTGATGCTAGGGGGGATAAAGAAATTTGTAATCTGTAGTCCGATCATTATATGGAGTTATTTAATTGCGTTTCTACTTCCAGATATAAAGATCTGGTTATTGAAGCATTAAATTGTCATATTGAGAATAGTAATGAAGTGTTCATTTCATCTCAAACTGTAAAGAATTGCATTGACAAGCTGTCACTTGGTAAATCTGCTGGTTTTGACAATGTTTCGACTGAGCACTTTAAATTTTGTAGTGAGAGGATTCATTTTCTTCTCAGTTTATGTTTTAGCTTAATGCTAAGGCATAGTTATGTGACTCCCGAAATGACTAAGGTTATACTTGTTCCAATAATTAAGTCCAAGTCTGATAATATCACCGACAAAGGTAATTATCGTCCTATAGCTTTAGCCACTGTTGCTTCAAAGATATTTGAACTTGTGTTAATTGAAATATCAGGCAACATTCATCTGGTGACCAACAGTTTGCCTTTAAATCTGTGAACTCCACAGATACATGTATTTTTGTCTTCAAACAGATTGTTGATTTTTATATGCGAAATGGTATCCCAGTGTATACATGTCTTTTAGATGCTAGCAAGGCGTTTGACCGTGTTAATCATTTTACGTTGTTCAAGAAATTAACCGATAGAGGCACTCCTATTTTTGTAATTAGAGTGTTAAGACATTGGTATATGACTCATGAATTTATGGTAAGGTGGGGAGATACAATATCTATGGGCTTTGGTGTGAAAAACGGGGTCCGTCAAGGTGGTATTATGTCACCATTACTTTACAATATCTATGTGGAAGATCTAAATGTTCGTCTGAATAATGTTAATGATGGTTGTGAGCTGAAAGATACAACATTTAATCGTCTCTGCTATGCAGATGACATGGTTCTTCTGGCTTCTTCTTGTTATGGGTTACAACGCCTTGTTATTGCCTGTGAGAATTTTGCTGAAGATCATGATGTCATTTACAACACAACAAAATCTGTTTGCATGCTTTTCTGTCCAAGTGTACGTAAAGTATCTGGCTTGCCAGTTACCCGTCTGATTGTTTCTCATCTCAATTACTGTGATAGCGTTACATATCTTGGCCATATGCTTACCGATACTCTAAATGGTGAGCTAGATATTAAGGGTTAAATGTCTCCTTTTTAAATCGTACTGTGTGAATATGTATCTTCCATCGTTATGGGCCAAGTTTACTCTAAGTTCCAAAGTTCTCTAAACTCACTGCGTGTATGTTACAATAATGCATTGCGCATAGTACTTAAACAACAGGCCCGTAGCCAGGGGGGGGGGGGTTTATGGTTCGGGCGAACCCCCCTTTTCTAGCGAACCCCCCTGTTTTCTAGCGAACCCCCTCGAATTGAATGAGTCCTACTCGGACGGAATGTCTGTTTTTAACTTACCCAGCATTACATCAAAATTTAGCACCTTATTCATTATTTGGTCACCCGTTTTTAAATTGTAGCCTGCGATACAAGCCTATTCATTGAATATCTCAGCTTCAGAAGTTCGGAGATTTAAATTGAACGCAACTCCAGCAAACCATGACTTTACGATGGCGCACATAAGGATGGCAAACATCGATAAAAACCCGGCTGCCGTCTCAACTTTCACTGGCCTTTGGCTGAATGTTTGTA